CCCTTGGGGGCTGATAGACATTGTCTTCACTTTCATTCCCCTGAATAAAGTCTAAGACAATGACTTGAGGACAGGTCGCTGATTTGAGAGAGAGCCCAAGATACAGGAGTGAAGGAATGGGGAAAATAAGTCAGGAAACAAGGGAAAGCTGATTAAAGGGTGCATTTTTTGAGCTGCATATCATTGTGGCAACTGCAGCTGAGTCCTACTGGAAACCCTCTGAGGAAGCCTGTAGAATGTGCCTGGGAATTATCCCTCTGTAGGGCAGAAAGCTGACACGTTAATCCACTAATTCCTGTCACCCTTTGCTGGAGAATTATTTCTAGGAGCATTAACTATCCCCATCCTTCCAGGATACCTTGCCAGGGCTGAACAAACTCTCTGGCTTCAGAAAAATCCCAGAGCAGAAAATTGAAAGAAATGGGGAGGATTGGGCTTGAGGTGAAATATTGACAGCATCTAAAACCCCACAGGAGTTTTCCATCACCAGCTTCAGCTAAAAACTGAAGTAGGCCTAGGGGCATATAGTATAAGATGAAATTGAACCAGTTTATGAAAGTTCTTATGCAGTCAAAGTAATTGAGGAAATAACTTAGGATAATAGACAGAGTTCTTTGATTATATGGAAATTATTTATGTCCTCTGAGCTATTGATTTATCATCGGTAAATGGGGATGACATTACCCAATTTGTGTGATTACTGCTAGAATTAAAAGTCCTTATTATGTAACGTGCTTAATACAGAGCCTGGCATGTAGTAAGATATACAGAATAAATGCTATGATATTGCTATTATCTATTGAAGGATTAAAAATGCTAATAACTACCTGCATCATGGATAATAATGGACTAATTCATATTTTATATATAATATCTTTGAATATCATATTCAAGTTCACTATTTAACTTGAATGTAATATTTCATATGACAAGACATTACAGTTTTGTTTGGAAGAACACTAAATTTTGGTTCCTTTTGAAATAGTTTTATCATAGAATGGCTGTTGGGAAAATCGTAAATGTAATCTAATTCCCATGCATTCTTTCTCCTTTGGTTAGGATTTAAGTTTTTATTAAACTAGAATGATTTATTTTATTTTTAGAGAAATCACCAGAGATGTACTGTTGGTTTTGTTTTTAAATCTTTTCTGCTTTTAAACCTATTCAAACACAAGAAACAATCTAAATGCATTCTATTCTCTAACAACCTCTGATGTCAAGTAAGTTTTCTGTAATTCTAGCTTAAATCTTAAATGCTGCAGTTTTGTTTTTACTCATCTTCTTCTCAGTAGAGAAAAATGGAACAGCTGGTTACTATTGTCAGTTTTCTATTGTTTGGAATTTATTAAATATGCAAAACTTGTGAATACATAGATATAAATATATATTTCCTTCCGGATATAGAACTCCCATTGCTTCTCTTTCAAGAATGATAGAACTTTACATGGAGAAGCTTTAGACCTATTCTAGTCCCAGTATATAGGCTGATTAATTAATACTAGTTAAAATATTATTTATTGTCATCTAGCATGTCTTGTGATAAATTGCCTGTTGTGTTCTTTGCTCAACTATCAATTGGAATTGATAGTTGGATATATTGCAGTCCAACACACAATCTTTGCATATTAATATTAACTATTAAGCCATTACTTGATATTTTCCCCAATTTATTATTTGTTTTTTAATTCAGTTTATAGTATTTTTGCCTTACAGGTTCATAATTAATATTTTGTCAGATATATATTTTTTCTCTTACAAATTTTTTTTTTTGGTTTCATGCATAGAGATGCCTTACTCACCATGAGCTCTTATCTGAGTTCATCTATATTTTACTCTGACCCTTTAATATTTTTTTTTTTGAGACAGAGTCTTATATTTTTATTCTTTTTTTTTTTTTTTTTTGAGACAAAGTCTTGCTCTGTCTCCCAGGCTAGAGCACAGTAGCACGATCTTGGCTTACTGCAACTTCCACCTTCCAGTTTCAAGTGATTCTCCTGCCTCAGCCTCCCAAATAGCTGGGATTACAGGCACCCACTATCATGCCCAGCTAATTTTTGCATTTTTAGTAGAGACAGGGTTTCATCATGTTGACCAGGCCGGTCTCAAACTCCCAACCTCAGGTGATCTGCCCGCCTTGGTCTCCCGAAGTGCTGGGATTACAGGCGTGAGCCACTGCACCTGGCCTTTTTTATTCTTTACCTATATTCTATTCTTTACCATGAAGTGCGTTTTAAGAGACTTCGACTCCTGCTTTATGGAAGTCCCAGATACACTGTATTGTTGGATATCCCTGGTTTGGGCACATAACAAATATTGAATGAGTGTTTTATGAAAATGACAATCATAAATAAAATAAATTTTTAATGAACCTTATTTGATCAAAGTGACTTTTTTATATGTTAAAAAGTATGCTTTTAAAAATCCATTGTGGATTTTTCCTAGGAATCAATTTGAAGTAGTATGTTTCATCTTTAGTCTTCTACCACATCTCTTATTCTCTTGCTGTGCAGTGTAAACTTCATCAGAATATTAACTCTGTTCTCTTTAATATTTTTAGTTAGCTTTTATTACCATTGTCAAGCTTACAGATTTCCTTATAGGCACACATCTCTTTAATATGTATAGGTGCTGATTTTTTCCATCTATGAGAATCATTAGTTTTGCATAAAGACTGTATCCATTTTTAGTTACATTCTGGAAGTTAACATTGATATCCATGAAATTATATGCATCATCTGTGTCAAAAATTTCTATTCATTCTTTTAACTTATCCTGAATACATGTTGTATTAATATTTAAACACTGTATTGTTTCTGATCCCCTTATTAGAAAAATATTTTCTTCTGTGTATTTGTGAGCTTCTTACTTCTTACTTTGCTTCCTGTCAAATTTGACATCCTCTACAACAGCAATGTCAAATGGATGGAATTCACTGTAATGATGGAAATGTTCTGATCTGCACAGTCCAATACAGTAGACATAGGTGAAAACTTGAAATGTAGCTAGGGCAACTAAGGAACAAAATTTTACTTTTAATTTAGTTTTAATTTTAGTAGCCACATGTGTCTATTGGCTACTGTATTGGATAGCACAATTCTATAGAGTAATTCCTTACCCTTCCATTTTTAGCTTAAAATCTTCGGTTTTATTTTAACTTAAACCTATTTTTTTTTGTTTTGTGTATTATATGTGTTTCTTATGTCCCAGTGATTATTTTTTCCTTCATTTCCTATGTTTTCTGTATTGTGATAATATATATTCTTAGATGATTAGGAGTGTACAACTGTATTTCTGTAATGTATTATTTATTAATATCAGGTGCTTGCTTTTCCTTACTATTTTGCAAATAAAAATGATAACATTCATTGTAGGAAAAATGAAAGAAGAAAAACAGAAAATATAAAGAAGAGAATAAAGCAAAGATTACTACTACTAACTAACTGCACAGGCACACACAGACACACATAGAGTGTTATACTTGGCTAAGTGCTTTCTGTACATAATATATTATTTTATTTTTAAACACCTTACTGATTGTACAGCTAATACATGTTTATCTCTAGAAAAAAAATTTAAAAACATTGAGGATTAAAGTGAAGTGTCACAATGTATAGACTAACCACTTTTATTACTTTGTGTTTTTCTTTTTCTCACAGTATTATTTCTAAGACCTATGGGTAGATGGTGTGCAGGTAGGTAGGTAGACAGCTGCATATGTAGACAGGCGTTTTCAAAAATTGAATTATACTATATGTAGGGTGGGCCAATAAAAGTATACACTTTCTCTAAGAAAACAAAATTATGTGTCACTATGGGTATGTATCATCCATAGTGATATTAGTGACCATTTTGATAATTTGTAACTTTAATAAAAATACATATTGGTTAACACTTATCCACTGGATTTGTCTATTTTTTAATTGTATCTTGCTTTTTATATCATGAGCATTTTTCTCTAATATAAAATAAAATTCACAAATGTGATTTTAATGGCTTCATCGTAGTCAATTTATTATCTCTATACCATTAACCAGTTTCCTATTATTAGACAGTTAGGATGCTTCTCCTTTTTTACTACTATAAATAGCATTACACTCTACATATTAGTGCCTAAAATAATTTCATTATTTTCATATCTAATTATTTTCTCTCGGATTATTTCATTAGTATACATTCTTAAAAGTGAAATCACTGGCCCAAATGAAATGAATGGATTTGAGATCCTTGGTATATATTGCCAAGTCAAATCACCCTCCAGAAAGTTCCTTGTTGCTTATAGAAGAAAAAAAATTATTGTTCTATTTTTATGGTTTAATCATTTTTATGTTTTGTTTTGTTTTGTTTTTGAGATGGAGCTTGCTCTGTTGCCTAGGCTGGAGTGCAATGGTGTGATGTTGGCTTACTGCAATCTCTGCCTCCCAGGTTCAAGAGATTCTTTTGCCTCAGCCTCCTGAGTAGTGCGTGCTACCATGCCCGGCTAATTTTTTATTTTATTTTTTTATTTTTAATAGAGACAGGTTTCACCATGTTGGTCAGGCTATTGGTCTAGAAATCCTGACCTCAGGTGATCCACCCACCTTGGCCTCCCAAAGTGCTGGGATGACAGGTGGGAGCCACAGGGCCTGGCTTCACCTTTTCTTTGAACTTTTAAACTTCTTTTAGGACTCAGGATTGTTTTATAATAAACATAACTTTCAAGAGTTTAGCAAAGCAATTAATTTGTTATACAGCTAGTGCTTGACTTACGACCACAGTCAGGACCGCGGACCAGTCGTAACACGGTTTGGTCGTAAGTTGAGTAGGCTATATGTACAGTACAGTTGAAATGGTGCACGTGGCGATGGTAGTGCTGCCGGAAGCTGGTCCTCACTGTCGTACGCCCAGCTGGGCAAATTTTGTGCTGCCAGACGTGGAGCAGTCGAACAATGTAACTCTTCATTTTTTTGCTAGCAAAGGTTTTCAGATATAAGATTTTCATTGTATAAATTGTTTCTTTCTAGGGTGAACAAGGAGAAAAAGGAGATCCAGGTCTGGCTGGCCTTAATGGAGAAAATGTAAGCCTAACTCTTTTTTCGGATACTCTGTTTACATTTTGTCACTAAAATATGATATTTAATGCTATTAAGATTTACCTATTTTTGGCAGAGCCAGCAATGATCCAACACAATTAAGAATCATGGTGTTGTTTCACATGGCTCAGTAGAGGCCTAGTGTTTTCAGTTTCATTTCATTGGCTTTATAAAGGCTTTTCTTCCTTGATGTTTTGTGCTTGCACATTTTCTAGTCTTCTTTTTCTGTCTTTTTTCATCTTACATATCTTCTGCTGTGGCCTATGCTTTTACCAGTGGTTCACTTTTCATCTCAGTCCGAATCTCCATCTAGTCTACAGATGGTGTCTGTATTTGGTAGGCTTTCAATGATGGAAAGAAAGGGTGGAAGTGAAGGGAAACTAAATCTATATTGCTCCCTTCCACGGCACCAGTTCCTCAGCCTCAGGGATAACATTGCCTGTGATATCCTTGGACCCCAGTCATCTCCTTCCCTTCCCATCAGGACAATTATCCTCCCAGAATTGCACTCTAGATTTTAGGATAAAGTGTGAAGGATGGCCCAAATGTGGGTTTTGCTCTGAAATGTAATTTTATTTACATTTACTCACTATTTACTATAGATATGTTAACTTTACTGGTAGGGGAAGTATCCAAAATGAGAATTAGTTTTTTCCTCAGCTTCCTTTTGTCACTTGCATAAAGGACTTGAAGGGCCACACAACTTACAAAAGAATAAGGAAAAACTATGAGACTCTATCTAGCTCCCTAATGCTCTAGATGTGGTAGGAAATCCATTTTGTATGCAGTAGACCATTACAATGGAAGAGAGGCTGAAGACCAATCTTTTGAGCCTGAGGAGAAAGTCATAAGGATATCTCATGTGTGTGTGTTGGGGGGGGAGTCTTCCAAAAAAGAAAGACCCTAGTAACTCTAGTAGTAATAGTAGTTAATGTTTCTATGTATGTTAACTACTAAACAACTTTCTTTTATAAAATACTAAAATTGACCTTTAATTCTAAATATCTGGCTGAAAAGTCTGATTTTCCCAGTAAATCATGCTACACATCATTGCTTATTTTTCAGTGCTAAAAAAACTGACTCTGCAAACTAAAGTAATTCAGTGTTTATGACAGTTCACTCTGACTTTCAATAAGCTCAGGTATACATTCTTTAAAAATGAAAGGTATTAGAATGGCTATTTGGATTTGAATTAAAGTCAAGCCATGATGGAAACTATAACTTCAGAAATATTATCTTAGAATGCATGGTAAATAAGCTCAGTGGGCCAGGTGACTCCAGCTGCTTTCTAAGTCAGAGTATATTGGAATGCTTTATTATTTCTACTAAACAAATTCAAATTCAACAGCCTTTTTTTTCATAGTCTTTATTGTTGCATTTTATATATATCTTAATGTCAATGTATCTTATAATGACTTCTTTTGTGCCAGCTTTCTCATAAAATGGGCCAGCTCACTTTGGAAAGTGTAAATGATAAATTAAAGGGTAGCATGTAGCAGTGCAGTCTTTCTCAATGTGGCCCTGCTGGCATTTTGGCAAGACAATTCTTTCTCAAGTCAGACTGTCTTGCAAGAGTGGAATGTTTAGCATCCTTGAAGCTCACCAACCTAATCTAAATGCCAGTAGCAGCCCCTAGTCATTGGGATAAGAAAAAATACACTGATATTTTTCTAAGTGTGTCTTGACTGTATATGTATATGTATGTGTATGTGTATGTGTGCGTGTGTGTGTTTATGTGTGTATGTGTGTGCATTCCTAAACTTTTGGTTGATCTCTATGGCATTACTAAACAAATGCATTCTCATGTTTCCATTCTAGTTTATATAATGCATACCAAACATATATTTAAGTTTTCAAAAATTTGAATTGCTAGAATTTAACCTTGAAAATATAAGACTTCATCTTTACACACAATCTAGTGTATAATTAAATAATTTTGATTGTGGCCTAATACAAAATATATTTAACAAAGGTATCTTAGAATGGACTTGAGAGCGAGTATTATAAAGTTGTAATTGCGACCTTTAAAACCAGGCTATCTGGGTTCAAATCCCAGCTCTGCCACTAACTAGCTGACATACTACTTGGTAAATTACTGATCCTCTCTGTGCCTCAGTTTCTTTATTTGCACCATGGAATGATAATTTCAATAGTACTTACTGTAGGGGAAAAGATAATTTTCCTTCACCTCTGAGGGGTTCAGTCTGCTGAAATGAACTGACAATAGACAGATTAACAGGAGAAAAGGCATGCAGATATATTAATGTGCATACAGTGGGAGCCATAAAAAATATGAGACTCAAAGAAAGCCCAGATGGCTGAAGCTTAAATAGAGCCCTCTTTATAGGAGAGAAGGAGATGATGGGTAGTAAATTATTTTCAGAAGAATGGAATGGGACCGAGTTAACAATAGCTGTGGACAAGTTACAGAAAGGTGTGGGCTGGACCTGCACTGTGAAGAAAAGTTGTCTTATGCAGATAAAGACTCCCAGGTAATCTCTCAGAGCTGCCTTCAGAAGAATAGATGAAGAGTCTGCCTGGGCATGGTGACAACTTTTAGTTTATTCTCTTCTCCAGAGATTAATTTTCCTGGTTATTTGATTAGATTCATACAAAATGGGTTTTAAGGCAATTGCTTTTTTTGGAAGAAAACCTCTCAGTCTGATAAAGAAAATTCCAGCTAGAGCCCATCCCTGTGCTCCAGGAGGGGTTGAGGGAGAAACAAGAGAAGATTAGAAAGTTCTTGGATCTGAGGCAACTTCTAAGGCCTTTGAGTTTCTTTAATTCAAAAGTACTCAGCATACCAAAGCACCACACTTTGGGGTTATCACTCTCTGTGCCCCAAAACTACCTCATGGATTTTTTTTTGTGAAGATTAAAGGGACTATCATACAGAAAGCATTTAGAACAAAGCAAGAACTATATAAACATTCAATATTAGAAACTGGGTTAAATAAAACACATTTAGCACTAATAGGAGCTTTTTTTTATTTATTTGTTTTTTGTGGGGTTATACAATCTTAGGAAAGTAGATTTAATTGTTGAGTTGTCTCTTTTTCTGAATCTATATTATGGTCTTTTAAATATCCCTCATTAGAATTACAGCATCTGATGTTTCTAAAATAATCATGTTAATCTCCTTATACCAGCACAATCTGTACTACAGAATTCAAAAATATTAAAATCACAAAACTAGAAAAATCGGCTGGCAACAGCTGTTGACACTGCTAGAGAATAAGATTAAGTCATGGGAAGCTTATGAAAAGAATTAATTGATGGGTTAAAATTTTTAACAAATAATATTTTAATATTATCTTCTGATTTTTAAAGATGTGACACCCCATTAAGTAGTAGTAGGTACTCCAACAAAAATTAATTTTATAGTCTACCTGCTTTTATAATTCTTGTTATAATACTGCTCTTCAGCTTTTATCTTGCCTTTAGATAACGGTTTCTGTCTCCACATTACATGCAGAGTCAACTACTGTGCTTTTGAGAATTTTTATATGCATGAATTTTGTTGAGAACCTTCATAACAGATACCCATCTTTCTCAATATTGAATTCAGAATCTGTTCCATTTGGCTCTTTATGCCCATGGTGAGTGCTGTGTCCTTTCTCCCCAGCACTCAATAACCATCGATAGCAGCACTAGTGTGACACAAGGAGAAAAACCGCATTTGAGAAAAGCATTACTGATCTGTTTTTCAGAGCCTATTACAATGCCATGGCCTTAACAACATTATACTTTGTCACAGGAAGATGTGAGTTACATGGGGCCACTTTAATGGCCATAAAAGTAGAAGCTTGACAAGTCCAATGCTTCTCAATTGCATTTTATCCTGTGTGAGTTAAAGCACAGTTGTTACGTATCCATCAAACTGATATAAAACTGAACAAGAAAGAAAAATCAGTTATCCCTTAAGCTTGAACTTGAAAAATAAAAGCAACATTTATTAGGTGCCTATCATGTGCTAAATGTTTCTACAACATATGATTCTAAGAACAACCCTTCAAGAAAACTATTACTTATTATACCTATTATATAGGAAAGCTTACCTAACTTACCCATGATTATATATAAAAGGCCATTCCTCTTCTGACTCTCTTGAAATCTACATCTGTGAAGTCTTAGACACCTCCACTAGAATTAGGCAACTGTGGGAAATACTTCCTGCATACCTGCTATATACTTCAATGATAATATTCACATCAACTTGTAATTGGCTGCATCATCCCCCTCATCTCTCCCTGCCCATAGTTAATTGAACCAGGGAGAGTTAGCTGATTCAACTGCCAATACGTTGCTTCCCTAGAAATTACAACTAGGATGGCCGGGCACGGTGGCTCACGCCTGTAATCCTAGCACTCTGGGAGGCCGAGGTGGGCGGATCACCTGAGGTCGCGAGTTCAAGAAATTACAACTAGGATTGATTTGTCAGGGAGGAATCTTTAAAAATTTTAGTGTATTATTTTATGCCTACAAAAATAATATATATAACATATATGATGGTTATAAATCATAAATATAATGAGAGCACCACTGTACCCAGAACTCAATGTGAGAACTAAGACATCATCCTCCACATGGAATCAGCCTCTGTGGTTCACCATATACTATCCTCCACTCCAGAGTTAACCATTTTTCTAAATGTTGTGCCTAATGTTTCCTTTCATTCTTAAAAATTATATTTCACACTTACACATTTATAAGGAGTATATAGTTTAGTCTTACATGTTTGCATATGTTCAATCATATTTGTTGAATAAATGGATACTCAGCGTTTTTCTCAGCCATTTTTTTCACGTTTGTCTTTTCTCTGCCTAGTTTTATACAAGCAAGAAAACAGAATCTCTTTTTAATAAATTTAATAAATTTCTCTGCTCAGTGAATGGTATAACTTCCTAGGCACTTACTTAAGCACATTGGCCTCGAGATTTTCCTTCTCCTCCATTTCTGGCATATCTGCCAGTCTTGCTTCAAGTATGTGCCATCTCTGACCACTTCTTACCATCTCCACTAGCACAACCCTGTCCCAGCTATCCTGCTCTCTTTCCTGGAAAAGCTGTCATAGTCCCTTTTCTACTCCCACTCTTGCTGCCCATAATCTGCATTCCAAATTGCAGCCAATGTGAATTTTTTTTTTTTAAATTCACTCCTTTATTCTGGGATGTATATTCCAGGTAACACAACTCACAAAAATACCATCAGACATTGAAAACTAAGGCCATTCTGTGAGTTATTTTTAAAACTTGGTGTTTTACACATAATCTTTAAAAAAATGAATTACCAAAACCAAGGTTTTCTTCTGAAATAAAAATTTAATGTAGCTACAGGAAAACTTTAGGGCTATGTGGTTTGTGGGGATTTTTGTAAACATATTCACATCATGTCATTTTCTTGCTTAAAACACCTAAGTGGTTTACCATTGCATGTCAAACAAAACCCTTCTTCCTCATCATGGCCTGCAATTCCTTATATACCATGACCCCTGGCAAACCTTGACTTAATCCCCTACTCCTTACCTGCGTGCTCATGACACTCCTTTTACCTTGGTGAACTCTGTGCTTCTTGTTCCCTTTGCCCCCACACTTCTCCCCAGATCATTGCATGGCTGGATCCTTTTTTTTTAGTTTGTGCAAATTCATGGGATACAAGAGAACTTTTTTACACATATATAATACATAGTGATCAAGTGAGGGTGTTTAGGTTTTCCATTTTCTGAATGCAATACATTTTTTTTAACATGTACTCATCCTACTCTGCTATCAAACATTGAATTTATTCCTTCTATCTTACTGTATGCTTGTATCTTTTTACCCGCATCATTTCATCCTCCCTCTACCCTTCACTCTTTCCAGTCTTTGTTATCTATTTCTACACTTTCTACCTCCATGTGTTCAAAATTTTTTGCTCCCACATCTAAGTAAGAATGGAATATTTGTCTTTTTGTGCCTGGCTTACTTCGCTTAACATAAAAACTTTCAGTTCCATTCATGTTGCTGCAAATGACAGGATTTTATTTTCTTATGGCTGAATAGTACTTCGTTGTGTATATATAGCACATTTCCTTTATCCATTCATCTGTTGATGGACACAGAATGATTTTCCATTTTTGCTAGGATCCTTCTGAAACAATAAATGTCACCACCACACAAGGGCCATTTCTGACACCCCACCTGAAGTAGCAGCTCTCTCCTCTTTCACTTTTATCACATTCAGCCTGTTGAACTGTTTATTGTCAGTCACTCTCCTCTTATTACGTGAGTTCCTTGAGAACAGAAATCTTGACACTGTTAAAGAAAAAAATTATTGACACTTGTTTTTAAAAAGTGATACGGAAGACATTTTATTCCAGACTATTGCAATAGGGGAATTGCAATAGGGAGAGAGATCAGGTTCAACTCTAACTACAACAAAGACAAGTGGAGATTTATAGCCAATGAGCAGAGGGAGGGAAGTCACTGGGTAGAAAATTAAGAGGAGACATCAAGGGTAGAGTGATTCTGACTAACCTGATCTAAGAAGATTCTTGCTAAAGACAGGCCAAAGACTTAGACATCAAGGTAGGGGACAGAGAACATGATCTCCTCAAAGGTTACAGAATGGAGAACAGATTTTAAGGGTGAGAGATTTTCTATACATGTACTTAGCAAGATTCTTGCTATAATTGAGCTTGGCAGAACAAAGACAGAATGGGGGCCACGTCCCAGGCCTAGTTGAGAAGAGAGCTCAGAGGACCCTGACTAAAGTTTGGTGATGGAGATAATCTTCATTAATTTCTTGTTCTTTCTGTATCTCTAAAGTATTACTAATCAATAGAAATATAATGACAGCTACAAATTCAAGATGAATGTAAATACATTCTTTTTTCTAGTAGTCAAATTAAGAAAAGTAAAAGGAGACAAGTTGAAAATACTTTTAATAATATATTTTATTTAATACAATATGTCCAACTGTTATCATTTAAGCATATAATAATTTAAAAATTATTTGTGAGATATTTTATATTTGTTTCTTACACCAAATATTGTAAATCCAAGTGTTTTATACTCACAGTAAAACTCAATTCAGTAATCACATTTCAAGAGTTCAAAAGCTACATGTAGCTTCAGAATTCAGTACAGGTCTAAAGGCCAGAAGTGACTTCACACAAGGTATGCAATATGCTTATTGAATAAGCAAATGAAAGAACAAGCGAATTAATAATAAATCTATTCACAGAAATGGCAATTTTTTTCCCTCAAGTGTTTACAATATGCTGTTGCCAAGTTCTACTCTGGAAACATGTATAAATAGATTATGGTTGCTTGATTTGGGAGGAAATGGATATTGCAAATAATAATACTATGTCTCAAATACTGTTTAATTTTTCACTCATCTTTTTTCTATAAATATTCCAAGGTAATGATTGAAAAAGCATAACTATGAGTTTTATACATGAAGGCATTTATGCAACTACAAGGTTTTTTGCCCAATTAGATATTGTTTTCATCCACTAAAAATGTTTTTCTTAAAGTATAATACTACAATTTTCACATACTGTCTGCAACAGGCTTATTTTAAGTATCCAATTTTCTTTTGTTTCTTTCATTTCATCACTGGTGTCTATATTGAGTACAGGTGATGGCATTTGGCATTATTTATTCACTACAAAATGTCAGGGCAGTAATAGCTGAGTCTTTCAGCTAGGATCAGTAAGATGCTCAGATTTACTGTGCATTGTGTGGCTTCAGAATACTTCTTTTTTTTTCTATTATTGTTCTTCCTTCATCGAGTCCTTAAATTAAGGACAAAAGAAGATTTTTTTTCCTATTTACCATGTAGTGAGGATGTGTCTATCTAACTTTCTATGTACACCATGAATTTATGCAGCTGTAGAGCTGATCTCCTCTGGTACAATCTATTGTAATAGTGTCGAAAGCTGACATTACTTAGTCAGATCAACTAAATACCCATTAAAACATCCAGCAGTCCAGAGGACTTATGAAAATATTTATCTGATATTCTATCTATGTCATATATAGTTTCATTTGGCATCTTTATAAATCTAGGTAAAAAAGATAGGAATTAGACAACTAAAACATAGTTTAAAACAGGCGAGAGATTACATTTTAGCTCCAGTTGTATGATAGCAAAAGAATGCATCTTTCATTCCTTTTCCCCTCACAATTAGATTTCTTGATAGGGACATAAAAATGTTTTTGATTTTACTCTTGAGTTTTTTTGGCAAGCTTTACAAAGGCCAAATCAATGCTAAATCAGAGGTATTTACAACATCCACAAATTTAATCCAAAGTGGATACTTAAAAGCTCATATAGATCTAAATGATATTCTCCCAGATGGTGAATTAATGTAATTTTAGCAGGAAGCAAAGTTGCACAAATATGCAGTATTGAGGACTCGCACTGAATTAATGTATCTGTGCCCACTACGGCACAGATGTTGCTTATCATTTTAGTGCCAGTTGTCTCTATTTCTCTCTATACTACAAAAGGAAGAATGGGATTTGAAACTTTAGTAAATTATGATTTATTTTGTTACTAGTGACTTGTTAGAAATTAAACCTTTCTTTGAAGTCTGTATTGGTTATATTCTTTCTACAGGGTTCAAAAGGTGACTTGGGTCTTCCTGGTCCACCTGGCCCAAAAGGAGAAAAGGTATTGTGTTTACCCAGCAAAGCCCAAGCTTTCTTTAAGAAAACCCTGACAACCTATGCAGTGACTTCTCACTGATACTGTTTATCTCCCAAAAGCATTTTAAAGTTAACCAAAGGCTGTTACATTAATAGCATCTGAATAAGAACAGCCTTTTTATTCATTTAATAAGTTTGAAAAGACTAAATGCACAATTTCTAGTTGGCATTAACTTGTATTTATAAGATTTCCCTTTTCTCGCCCTTGCTTAACAGCATTAGGTATTAAATCACCAAATTAGCAAGTGTGGCCTGTATTGGAAAATTTTGCCAGTAACACTGAGCTGCTACTATAATGGTGAGGCAAGTGGCTTTTGGAAAAAAGCTAACTTTGTATCTCAGTCTTAGTCTAACTATTCCATTTTCTGCCACTTTTTCTCATAAAATAAGCTATTTCACAATGACATGTTTGCAATGACCTTGAAAAGGAAAATAAGAAATAGTAAAAAGCAAGGGTTGTTTTGAATAAAGTAGTTGAGTGATCCCAATTTGATGAAAATTGTATGTGTATGTGTTTTGCACTGTATTTTGTTCTCCGTTCTTAGCACATTTAGAAATCCTTGTCTGTCTTCAATATTTGTCTATATGTTAAAGGTGATCTTGCAAATGAGTCCTCAGTGACTGATTAAAGCCACATCAGTGTTCCTTAGCAACTATTGTCTATTTTAATTCAATTGTTGCAAAAAACAATGCATACACAATGCTAAGTTTTAACTTTCTAGGTGGCTATATTTGTTGAGAAAAGAGAAAGTCCTAAAGATACTCAACGTGAGACTACAGCACCCTGGTACCCCATGCTATACAGTACATGGCCTCCATAATGTGCAGCTAAATAAGAACCATGGCAAGGGTGATTGGTCTTAGTATTTGAGAGTTCCTGTGTAATAAATAGAGTTTCCAGGACCGTTAAGTATAAGGGGACATGGAAATTGGAAAATGGTGAACTTTTAGATGAACCATTTTTTAAAGATGTTGAATAGTTGTTGATATATCCACCTGGAAATTTGTATTCATATAGATCAGCAAAGCAATTTTAGTATTCAAAAATACATAAATATAGGCAAAGCCTCTTACAGTTGATGGCAAATGTGATGCCAATTCAGCAGAGCTTTAGAAGAGGCCATGGGACTGCTTCTTGCAGCTGGGAGGCATGAAATGGGGAGATCCACTTATTATTTCTGCTGATCCTCATACTAACTTTGTCAGACAAATTGTCTATTGCTGTGACACTTCCCAGCTGTTCCACTGGCAAGTAACCATACTTGAAAATATATTATTTCTAATTTTGGATTAGTAGACAAAAGTATAGAAAATTAGATTATTTTAGCTTTCAAAACAAGTCCTGCTTTTGCAAAAACAATGGAATATACAAGGTGATTTTTATATCATGAGAGCTAAAAAGGGATGATAAATTTTCTTTGTGTGGAGAATTTTATCAGGATTAAATTCCATTTTTCTATTCTTCAAGATTTATCTATAGATATTGCTTCTATTCACTTATAAATTTATAATATGCAAAAAGGGACTAGTGGTAATTGCAGCTTTTCTTTATTTTAGGGAGATAGAGGACCCCCAGGACCACCAGCCTTACCTGTAAGTATTCTTGAAATCAAAATTCAAAATTGAAAGCCGTTATTCTATTTATTATTCATATTACTTCATGACTAAACCAGGATTTAAATCACAGACTTAAGAATTGAAGGTGACTTCAAGTACATGTAGACAAAACTCCACATTTTAAAGATGGGCATCTGCCCACAACAGTGAAATACTTGACCCAAGTTCATACAGGTGGTTACAATAAAAGTCTGAAATCAGTACCTACCATGAGCAATTTTCTCTGTCCTCCATATGGTTCATAATTGTGTCTCCTAAATGTTTGATTATGCACTCTTAACATCAGGTTTAAAGTAAATGGAATCAGATACAGTCCTACTTGCTTTAAAAACTGTAAAAGGACGAAACAAATTGTAATTATCCAGTGAGTAAAAACGGCTACCTGTTTAAACTGATAGTTACATTCCCTCAGCACTATCTAAAACCATTATTTTCCTCTATGATTTGCTTCTAAAATTTGCAGATTATAAAAATGGCAATATTTTAGTGACAGATTTTTGAGAAAAGTTTATCATGTGCACATAATGAGATTGTTCTCAATCAAATGGTACATCATATATGAAGCATTTAATAATAAATATATGATGCTCTTAAATTCAGATACAATTTACTATTACAGAGTTCCTTCATAGGCCATTAAAGATTCTCATTTAACTTAGATAAGACTCTAAGCCTAATGGAAAACAGGACAGTTTAAAAAAAAAATCTTCTACAGCCTGAAGTCTTTGATATTACCTATGAGATAAATTAAGCGTTTACATCAGTAGTTTTCAAAGACCTATTCTGATTATAGAAGGTCAGATTTTAAAAAGTATTCTAGTAATCTGAATGGAGCCCTTCCCATTGGCAGAACATAGGAATCTCAAAAACTGTGTGATTTTGATAATATCTATATTTATGTTTATAATAAAAATCCTATCATGAAAAAAAAATTAATAGTGTCTTACACAAATAATCTTTGCAACTCCCACATAAACAAATGCTTTCTGATATGTAGAAAACCTAAGGAAATAAATAGGTGACTTACTTGGGGATAACTCATTAAATTTGCAGTGGAATTCTATGCTGTAAGCTTTTAAGCATGAAAAGAAAAACTATTGGACAGGCAGTTTTAAGTGCATATTATTTTATTTTTTATACTTTGTAGAATTTTAAAAAATTATTTGGCAGTGATTTAGTTCAACCTGCTCATTTTACTTAAGACACATGCCTGTTTTCTCTTCAACTAAGTTATATGCAGTCATTTAGTTAAACCTGCTCATTTTCTGTAAGACTCATGCCTGTTTTCTTCAACTAAGTTATATATTCAACTACTCCACTTAGTTATCTGATTTCCTAGTCATTTCCAAATCATGTTGGAAGGCCAATATGCAATCTACATATGTTATTTCACCTGAAATACAGTTTTGGCTTCTCAATCAGAAAATTGCATTGGATTATATATGTTTTGTAGATTTTTAATAGCAGCCAGCGTTTTTCTGCCAAGGAACACCTTGAAGATACATCTTTACACCATCCAGCTGTCAAGCACTTAGAGATTACAAGCTAATTTCATACTTGTCTAAAAATATGACATGGAGAAAACACTATGAAATGAAATGTTTTATTTCATAAAGTAAAATATTCATATTATTGGAGTATTACTATTTTGTATGCTTGACATTACTTTATTAATATAAATTATCAACTGTTCCCTACAAAATAATAAACTAAAATTAACAGCAACTTACAATACACTCAATATTTAATTGATCTGATAATGCAGCTTGATATATTATTTGTTGAAATAGTTGGTAATAGTCTTTGAGGAAGCCCAAATGACTGACTGCATCATATTTGGAAGTGGGAAAATTGGTTGAACCCAGGAAGCATAGGTTGTAGTGACCTGAGATTGCACCACTGCACTCCAACCTAGGTGACAGAGGAAGACTCTGTCTCAAAGAAAAAAAAATTAAAATCAAATTTAACTTCATCATGAAGCCAAAATTCAGAAAAATTCAAGTGCCTAGCAGAGATGGGGCAGTAACGTAAATGTGTGATGCAGCCCAGTGTATGATAATAGAGTGTATTGGGGTTAGGGGCCAGGATAGCTATGTCTTTCTCAAAGTATCAAATTCAAATTAAAAACTACTTAAAGATTGATTAATTCAAAATATAGGCATACTTTCGAGATATTACAGGTTCAGTTCCATACCACTGCAATCAAGGAAGTCACCCACTTTCTTTTTTGGCTTTTCCAGTGTATATAAACGTTATATTTACACTATACCCTATAAAATGTGCAATTTATATTGTGCAAAAACAATTTTGCACATTTTAATTAAAAAAAACTCTATTGCTAAAAATTGTTAATGATCATCTGAGCCTTCAGTGAGTTGTAATCTTTTTGCTGATAGAGGGTCTTGCCTCCATAATGGATGGCTGCTATCTGATCAGGGTGGTGCTTGCTGAAGGTTGAGGTGGCTGTGAAAGTTTCCTAAAATGAGACAAAAATGAAATTTGCCACATTAATTGACTTTTCTTTTCATGAAAGATTTCTCTGTAGCATGTGATGATGTTTAGTAGCATTTTACCCACAGAACTTCTTTTGAAATTGAAGTCAATCCTCTCAAAAGCTGCGGTTACTTTATCAACTAAATTTCTATAATATTTCAAGTCCTTCCTTGTCATTTCAACAATGTTCACAGTATTTTCACCAGGAGTAGATTTCATCTCAATAAGACATTTTCTTTGTTCATCCATAAAAAGCAACTCCTCCTTTATACAAGATTTGCCATGAGATTGTAGCAATTAATTCAGCCACATCTTCAGGCTTTACTTCTAATTCTAGTTCTCTTGCTATTTCTACCACCTCTACAGTTACTTCCTCCGCCTACATCTTACTCAGAGTCATCTGTGGGGCTTGGAATTAACCTCTTCCAAATTCCTGTTAATGTTCAGATTGTGACCTCTTCCATGAATCACAAATGTCTTTAATAACATGTAGAATGTTAAATCTTTTCCAGAAAGTTTTCAATTTATTTTGCTCAGATTCATCAGAGGAAGCACTATTTATGGCAGCTATAACCTTATAAAATGTATTTCTTAAACAATAAGTCTTGAAGTCAAAATTACTTCTTCACCCATGGACTGAAGAATGGGTGTTGTGTTGGCAGGCATGAAAACGATATTCGTCTCCTTGTACATCTCCATCAGAGCTCTTGGGTGACCAGATGCATTGTCAATGAGCAGGAATATTTTGAAAGAAATATCTTTTTCTAAACAGTGATATCAACAGTGGGCTTTTTCAGTAAACCATGTTATAAGCAGATGTGCTGTTCTCCAGGCTTTTTCATTCCATTTATAGAGCATAGGCAGAGTAAATGTAGCATAATTATTAAGGGCCCTAGGATTTTCAGAATGACTGTTGGCTTTAACTTAAAGTCACAAGCTGTATTATCCCCTAACTAGAAAGTTAGTCTTTCCTGTAAAGCTTCGAAGTTAGGCATTGACTTTTCCTTTCTAGCTATGAAAGTCCTAGATGGCATCTTTAGCTGCTTTGTCAACATTGAAAACCCGTTGTGTGGTGTGGCTACCTTCATTGAAGATCCTGGCTAACTTGGTGCATCTTCTACACTAGGCACTTAATGCTTCACTTTGCACTCTTATATTCTGAAGATGGCTTCTTTTCTTAAACATCATGAACCAGCTTCTGCTAGCTTCAAACTTTTCTTCTGCAGCTTTCTCACCTCTCTCAGCCTTCACAGCATTAAGAGTCAGGGCCTTGCTCTTGATTAGGCTTTGATTTAAGGGAATGTTATGGCTTAAGAGAATGTTGTGGCTGTTTGGGTCTTCTATCCAGGCCTTTAAAACTTTCTTCATATCAGTAATATGGTTGTTTTGCTTCCCTATCATTTGTGTATTCACTATAGTAGTAGCACATTTAATTTCCTTCAAGTTTTCCTGTGCATTCACAACTCAGCTGTTTGGCTGGAGAGACCTAGCTTTTGGTGTATCTCAGCTTTCTGTGTTTTCCTTGCTAAGTTGAATCATTTTTTAGCTTTTAATTGAAAATGAAAGATGTGCAAATTTTTCTTTCATTTGAACACTTTGGAGCCATTGTATGGTTATTAACTGACCCAATTTCAATATTGCTCTTCCTTAGGAAATAAGGGTGCCGAAGTAGAGGAAGTGTGACAGAGAAATGGCTGGTCAGTGGAGCAGTCAGAACACACATGATGTTTATAGATTAAGTTCCCCATCTGATAGGGACATGGTTAGTGGTGCCTCAAAACAATTACAGTAGTAACACCACAGATCACTGATCACAGATCACCATAAAAATATAATAATAATGAAAAAGTTTGAATATTGAAAAAATTACCAAAATGTGACACAGAGACATGAGTGAGCACATGCTGTTGAAAACTGGTACCAATACTTTTGCTGTACACAGGCTTGCCACAAACCTCCAATTTGTAAAAAATGCAGTATCTGAGAAAAGCAATAAAGCAAAGCCCAATAAAATGGGGTATGCCTACATATATAAAAAATGCTTTGTAGTTATTATCCAAAATAAAGAAGTATTGATAACTGACAGCATTTGCTTCAGATTTCAGTTTCAAACAAAAAATATTATTAGATGTCTATTTTTCTCTTTCCCTTTTCACCCTGAGGGAGCTACTATATTGTTGATGATGTTAGTGGTAGTATACACTTACCTGATAGATATACAACTAAAGCGATGTATTATATTCTATGTTTTTCATTAACACAAATGGTATTCTCTTGTAAATAGATGTTCACAATTATTTTTCCCTATTATACTCTGTTTGAGAATCATTTATGTTAATGTTATAGATCAGGTTTATTCTTTTAAACTGATCTGTAGTCTTCCAGCATTTAACCATAGCACTAGACGTTTTCATATTGATAACATTTGGATTTTTGTCTGTTTTTTCTTTTACCTACAGTGTACGAATGAATATTTTTGTACG